GGCACCTCCAGAACTTTGTAGGACCTTCTAGAACCCTGGAGACATCTCCAGAACCCCGTAGGCACCTCTAGAACCCCACAGACACATATAAATCCTTTTATGACACTCTAGAACCCCACAGACACCTCTAGAACCCTGGAGACACGTCTAGAACCTTCTATGACACTCTAGAACCCCACAGACACCTCCAGAAATTTGTAGGACCTTCTAGAACCCTGGAGCCAAGGAACCTTCTATGACACTCTAGAACCCCACAGGCACCTCTAGAACTTTTTTGGACCTTCCAGAACCTCTAGAACCCCTCACAGACCTGAGGAACCTTCAGCAGAACCTCGTGGCCACCGGGAGAACCTCAGAGAAAATTCCAGAACCTTCTGGACACCCCCGGACCCTCACGGACCCCGCGGGGTCGGGGTGTCCCCGTCCCCCTCCTCTGGATTTTGGGTTCTCACCCCAAATTCTCTCATCCTTTTTTGTTTCGGTGTTTCTCAGTAAAATCGGGAGTTTTGGTCTCCCCCCGCAAAAAATTTTGGGGTTGATTTTGGGGATTGGGGATCCGGAGGGGTCTGGGATGGGAGGGTGGGGGTGGGGAAATTTGGGATTGGGAGGGGATGTTTGGGATTCCCAATTTTTCACCACCACAAACCCCAAAATTCCCAGTTTTTACCAAAATTCCCAATTTTTGACCCTCCCAAACCCCAAAATTCCCAATTTTTGCCCCTCCAAGATCCCAAAATTCCCAATTTTTGCCCCTCCCAGACCCCAAAATTCCCAGTTTTTACCAAAATTCCCAATTTTTACCAAAATTCTGAATTTTTGCCCCTCCCAGACCCCAAAATTCCCAATTTTTGCCCCTCCCAATCCCCAAAATTCCCAGTTTTTACCAAAATTCCCAATTTTTACCAAAATTCCCCATTTCTGACCTTCCCAGACCCCAAAATTCCCAATTTTTCACCCTCCCAGACCCCAAAATTCCCAATTTTTGCCAAAATTCCCAATTTTTCACCCTCCCAGACCCCAAAATTCCCAATTTTTGCCCCTCCCAAACCCCAAAATTCCCAATTTTTGCCCCTCCCAAACCCCAAAATTCCCAATTTTTGCCCCTCCCAGACCCCAAAATTCCCATTTTTTGCCCCTCCCAGAGCCCAAAATTCCCAATTTTTGCCCCTCCCAGACCACAAAATTCCCAATTTTTGCCCCTCCCAATCCCCAAAATTCCCAGTTTTTGCCAAAATTCCCAATTTTTGACCGCGTGGATGAAGTGCAAAAAATTCATTTTATTCAACAAAGCCAAAAAAAAAAAAAAAACCAAAAGGGGAGGGGGCCCAGAATTGGGTTTTTTTTGGGGGGGGTCTCCCCAAATTTTGGGGACTCCCCCCATGGAGGGTCCCCAGACTCCTGATTTGGGGGGGGGTCCCTTTGTGGTTTTGGGGTGATTTTGGGGATTCTTTGGGGTTTTGGGGTATTTTTGAACTTTTTAGGGGGTTTTTTGGGTTTCCACCCCAAATTTTGGGGACTCCCCCCATGGAGGGTCCCCAGACTCCTGATTTGGGGGGGGGTCCCTTTGTGGTTTTGGGGTGATTTTGGGGATTCTTTGGGGTTTTGGGGTATTTTTGAACTTTTTAGGGGGTTTTTTGGGTTTTTTTGGGGTTCTCACCCCCAAATTTTGGGGTTCCCACCCCGAATTTTGGGGTCCCCCCTAGGTGAGGTCCATCCGGATGTCCCTCTCCATCACCTGAGGGTCTGCAGACCCCTGATTTGGGGTTTTTTTTGGGGGGGATTTTTACGGTTTTTAAGGATATTTTGGGATCTTGGAGGGGTTTTTTGGGGTTCCCACCCCAAATTTTGGGGTTCCCACCCCGAATTTTGGGGTCCCCCCTAGATGAGGTCCATCAGGATGTCCTCCTCCATCACGCTGGGGGTCTGCACGGGCTGGAGCCCCCCCGGGGGGACGGGACCCCGCGGGCCGGGGGGCAGCAGCATCTGCCCTGGGGGGGGCACAGGGGGGTCAGGGGGGACCCCAAAACCACCTGGGGGGGGTTCAGGGGGGTTTTGGGGGATCCCGGGGTGGTTTTGGGGTTCCAGGCTTGGGTTTCGGAGTTGTAACTGGGGAGGGAAAAAGGGAATGTTGGAAAATCACCCCAAAAAAGGAGCCCCACAAATTGTTCTAGGACCCCAAAAATGTCCAAAAAAACCCAAAATTCATTCAGGCACCCCTCCAAAATACCAAAAAAACCCTCAAACCCAGCCAGAAATCCCCCAAAATCATCTAGGACTCCCCAAACCCAAGCAGGATTCCCCCAAAAATCATGCAGGACCCCTCGAATCAACCCAAAATTCCTCCAATCCAATCCCCAACCCATCCAAGAGCCCCCAAAATCATCCAGGACTCCCTAAATCAAACCAGGGTCCCCCCAAAACCCCTCCCAGACCCCAAAAATCATGCAGGACCCCTTGAATCACCCCAAAATTCCTCCAAGCCAATCCCCAACCCATCCAGGAGCCCCCAAAATCATCCAAAACTCCCCATACCTAACCAGGGTCCCACCAAAACTGATACAGGACCCCCTTGAATCACCCTAAAATTCCTCCAACCCAACCCCCCAACCCATCCAGGGGCCCCTAAGCCCCTCTAGGACCCCCTAAAATGCCCCAAAACCCCCCAAAATCCCCCAGACCAGGCTCTGCTGCCGCTGCTGCTCCTCCATGATCCCGACCTGCGCCAAGCCTGGGCTCACCTGGGTGAGGGGCACAAAGCTTAAATCCATCTCAAATTCCACAAAAACCACCCCAAAATTCAATAAAAACCATCTCAAGTGGAAATGTGAGAGGAAAAAGGGTGGGAAATGTGAGGGGGAAAAGGATGGGAAATGAGAAGAGAGAAAGGATGTGAAAGGTGAGGGAAAAGGGAAACATGAGGGGAAAAAGGGAGGAAATGTGAGGGGAAAATGGCAGGAATTTGAGGGGAAAAACACGGGAAACATGGGGGAAATGGTGGTAAAATGTGAGGGGAAAAAGAGGGGGAAATGTGAGGGGAAAAAGGGTGGGAAACGTGAGGGGAGAAAAGGGCGGGAAATGTGAGGGGAGAAAAAGGGTGGTTAATGTGAGGAGAAAAAGCTGAAAAAAAGGAAAAAAAAACGAAAAAATTGAGGGGAAAAACACGGGAAACATGGGGGAAATGGTGGTAAAATGTGAGGGGAAAAAGAGGGGGAAAAGGGAAGGGAAAAAGGGTGGGAAACGTGAGGGGAGAAAAGGGCGGGAAATGTGAGGGGAGAAAAAGGGTGGTTAATGTGAGGAGAAAAAGCTGAAAAAAAGGAAAAAAAAACGAAAAAAGGGCAGGAGAAGGAAGGCAGGAGACAGGTAGGGACAAAAAGTGAGGGGAATAAGAGTGGGGAATGTGAGGGGAGAAAAGGGAAACATGAGGGGAGAAAAGGGCAAGAGACGTGAGGGGAGGAAAGGGTGGGAAACGTGAGGGAAAAAGGAAACGTGAGGGAAGAAAAGGGCTAGAAACATGAGGGGAGAAAATGGCAGGAAATGTGAGGGGAAAGAGGAGGGAAATGTGAGGGAAACACGAGGGGAAAATGTGAGGGGAGAAAAGGGCGGGAAACGTGAGGGGGAAAAGAGTGGGAAAAGTGAGGGGAGAAAAAGGGTGATTAATGTGAGGAGAAAAAGCTGAAAAAAAGGGAAAAAAAAGCTGAAAAAAGGGCAGGAGAAGGAAGGCAGGAAACAGGTAGAACAAAAAGGAGACGTGAGGGGAATAAGAGTGGGGAATGTGAGGGGAGAAAAGGGAAACATGAGCGGGGAAAAGGGTGGGAGACGTGAGGGGGAAAAGGGTGGGAAACGTGAGGGAAAAAGGAAACGTGAGGGGAGAAAAGGGCGAGAAACATGAGGGGAGAAAATGGCAGGAAATGTGAGGGGAAAGAGGAGGGAAACAAGAGGGGAAAAGGTGAGGGGAGAAAGGGGCGGGAGACATGAGGGGAGGAAAGGGTGGGAAATGTGAAGGGAAAAATGGTGGGAAATGTGAGGGAAAAAGGAAATGTGAGAGGAGAAATGGCAGGAAATGTGAGGGGAAAGAGAAGGGAAACGTGAGGGAAACATGAGGGGAAAATGTCAGGGGAAAAAAGGGCGAGAAACATGAGGGGGGAAAAGGGCGGGAAATGTGAGGGGAGAAAAAGAACGGAAAATGTGAGGAAAAAAGGACAGGAAACAAGGCTGGAAACAAGAGGAGAAAGAAGACAAGAAACAGGTAGGAACAAAAAGACACAAAAAACCCAACCAAGGTTTTTCCCCACAAAAACCAGCCCAAATCCCACAGAAACCGGCACAAATCCCACAAAAACCAGCACAAATCCCACAAAAACCAGCCCAAATCCCACAAAAACCACCCCAAATCCCCCCTTACCTGTGGCTGCACCCCCGAGGTCACAGGGAGGGTCCCCGGCTGCTTGGGCAGGAACGGGGGAGCCCCAGGAACAGGGGCTGAGCCCCCCAGCTGTGGGGACAGGAAAACTTGGGGTGTTTGGGAACAGCAGAGAGACCCCGAAAAGAGTGGGGGACAGAAATGACCCCCAAGAAAGGGATGGGGGTGTTGAGGGGGTAGAAAAACCCCACAAAACGGAGCATCAAAGACTGCCAAAATGGGGTTTGGGAGGCACTTGGGGGAATCGAGCCATAAAGGGTTAAAAGGGGGGAAAAAATGGAGTTAAAAATGGGATTTGGTGGGGTTTAAAATCCCATTAAAATGGGATTTAATGGGGTTAAAGTGGGAAAAATGGGGTTTAGGGGTGCCAGGAGGCCCAGGTGCTCCTGGTAGGCTTTGTCCTTGATCTGAGGGGAAAATGGGATCAAAAATGGGAAAAATAGATTAAGATGGGTAAAAATAGGCAAAAAAATGGGATTTAGCAGTGTTAAAATGGGGTTTAATGAGAAAAATTAAGGTTAAAGATGGAAAACATGGGGTTTAGGAGTCCTAGGTGGCCCAGGCCAAAACCCAGGTCCTCCTGGTAGGCCTCATCCTTGATCTGAGGAGAAAATGGGGTCAAAAATGGGAAAAATAGATTCAGATGGGTAAATATAGGTAAAAAAATGGGATTTAGCAGTGTTAAAATGGGGTTTAATGAGAAAAATTAAGGTTAAAGATGGAAAACATGGGGTTTAGGAGTCCTAGGTGGCCCAGGCCAAAGCCCAGGTCCTCCTGGTAGGCCTTGTCCTTGACCTGAGGAGAAAATGAGGTCAAAAATGGGAAAAATAGATTCAGATGGGTAAATATAGGTAAAAAAAATGGGATTTAGCAGTGTTAAAGTGGGGTTTAATGAGAAAAATTAGGGTTAAAGGTGGGAAACATGGGGTTTAGGAGTCCAAGGTGGCCCAGGCCAAAACCCAGGTCCTCCTGGTAGGCCTCATCCTTGATCTGAGGAGAAAATGGGATTAAAAATAAGAAAAAATGGGAAAAAGGGTAAAAACTGGTAAAAGAATGGGATTTGGGGGGATTAAAATGGGATTAAAGGGGGAAAAATGGGGTTTAGGGGTCCCAGGTGGCCTAGGCCAAAGCCCAGGTCCTCTTCCTTGATCTGAGGGGAAAATGGGGTTAAAAATGGGAAAAACGGAGAAAAATGAGAGAAAAATGAGATTTTGGGGGGGGTTAAAGGAGGAAAAATGGCGTTTGGGGGCGTTAAAAGGGGAAGATTCCACCCAAAAGGGATCTGGAAGGAACGGATGAGCTCTGGAGGATTTTGGGGTGTTTTGGGGGTGTTTTTGGGGTGTTTTGGGGTGTTTTTGAGGTGTTTTGGGGTGGTTTTGGGGTGTTTTTGGGGTATTTTGGGGTGTTTTTGGACCTCACCCCACGCTGCTGGTCCATCTTGTGCTGCTGCACCTGCTTGTGGTTGGTGATGACCTGGCGGATGCCGTTGACGAAGCCGCTCTGGTCGTTCGGGATCAAGCCCATGAAAATTTTCTTTTTGGACGAGTAGAGCAGCATCAAAACCCGCACCTCGCACGGGGCCGTGTGTGGGAAGTGCACGCAGCCTGCCTGGATCAGGGAACGGCACCAAAATGTCAAAAAATGGCACTGAAATGGCCAAAAAATGGCACCAAAATGGCCAAAAAATGGCGTCAAAATGGCCAAAAAATGGTGCCAAAATGGCAAAAAAATGGCATCAAAATGGCCAAAAAATGGCGCCAAAATGGCCAAAAAATGGCACCAAAATGGCCAAAAAATGGCGTCAAAATGGCCCAAAAATGGCGTCAAAATGGCACCAAAATGGTGCAAAAATGGCACAAAAATGGCCAAAAAATGGGGTCAAAATGGCCAAAAAATGGCGTCAAAATTGGCAAAAAAAAAGGCGTCAAAATGGCCAAAAAATGGCGCCAAAATGGCCAAAAAATGGCACCAAAATGGCCAAAAAATGGTGCCAAAATGGCCAAAAAATGGCCAAAAAATGGCCAAAAAATGGCCCCCCCAATAACCCCAAATATGACAAAAGCCCTGAGGGTGATTTTGGGGTCCCTGGGGATGTTTTGGGGTCTCTCCGGGTGATTTTGGGGGTCCTGAGGGTGATTTTTGGGTCTCTCCAGGTGATTTTGGTGTCCCTGAGGATGTTTTGGGGTCCCTGAGGGTGATTTTGGTGTCCCTAAGAGTGATTTTGGGGTCCCCGGTGATGATTTTGGGATCCCTAGGGATGATTTTGGGGTCTCTCCAGGTGATTTTGGGGTCTCCCAGCGTGATTTTGGTGTCCCTAAGAGTGATTTTGGGGTCCCCCGGGATGATTTTGGGATCCCCGGTGATGATTTTGGGGTCCCTAAGAGGGGGATGATTTTGGGGTCCCTGGGGATGATTTTGGGGTCCCCGGTGATGATTTTGGGATCCCCAGGGCTGTTTTGGTGTCCCTGAGGGTGATTTTTGGGTCCCTGGGGATGATTTTGGGGTCTCTCCACGTGGTTTTGAGGTCCCCAGGGATGATTTTGGGATCCCCAGGGATGATTTTGGGGTCCCCGGTGATGATTTTGGGGTCCCCGGTGATTATTTTGGGGTCCCCAGTGATGATTTTGGGGTGCCCCGGGCTGTTTTGGGGTTCCCGGATTTTGGGGTCCCCCGGGCTGTTTTGGGGTCCCCGGTGATGATTTTGGGGTCTCTCCGGGTGATTTTGGGGTCCCTGAGGGTGATTTTGGGATCCCTAGTGATGATTTTGGGGTCCCCCGGGCTGTTTTGGGGTCCCCGGTGATGATTTTGGGGTCCCCGGTGATTATTTTGGGGTCCCCAGTGATGATTTTGGGGTGCCCCGGGCTGTTTTGGGGTTCCCGGATTTTGGGGTCCCCCGGGCTGTTTTGGGGTTCCCGGATTTTGGGGTCCCCCGGGCTGTTTTGGGGTCCCCGGATTTTGGGGTGCTTACGAAGCCGTTGCCCATGATCCTGTAGAGCCCCTTGAGCGACTCCAGGTCCTTGTTGGTGAAATGGAACTGAACCATGCGGGAATTGCGGAACAGGGGGCCCAGGGTGGTCTGGGGGGGCCAAAAAAAGGGCTCAGGACCCCCCAAAATCCTACGAAACCGTCTTACAAAACCCAAAATCTCCGAAATCTCACAAAAACCACCCCGAATCCCAGAAAAAAACCCCTTAAATCTCAAAAAATCACCCCAAATCCCACTTTAAAAAACTTCAAATCCCATAAAAGCCACCCCAAATCCCAAAAAAAACCAGCCAAATCCCAAAAAACCACCCCAAATCCCAAAAAAACCCCTTAAATCTTACAAAACTACCCCAAATCCCTCAAAAAAAACCCCAAATCCCACCAAAAAAACCCCAAATCCCCCAAAAAAACCCCAAATCCCACAAAAAACCCCAAATCCCACAAAAAACCCCAAATCCCTCCCCCAAAAAACTCCAATTCCCACCAAAAAAAACCCAAATCCCACAAAAAAACCCAAATCCTCCCCAAAAACCCCAAATCCTCCTCCAAAAAAACCCAAATCCCACAAAAAAACCAGAAATCCTCCCCAAAAAACCCCAAATCCTCCCCAAAAAATCCCAAATCCTCCCCAAAAAACCCCAAATCCCATCAAAAAATCCCAAATCCTCCCCAAAAAAGCCCAAATCCCCTCCCAAAACCCCCAAAAAAAACCCAAATCCCCCCAAAAAAACCCCAAATCCTCCCCAAAACACCCCAAATCCCATCAAAAAATCCCAAATCCTCCTCTAAAAAAACCCAAATCCCACCAAAAAAACCAGAAATCCTCCCAAAAAAAACCCAAATCCTCCCCAAAAACCCCCAAATCCCACAAAAAGCCCCCAAATCCTCCCCCAAAAAACCCAAATCCCCCCAAAAAAATCCCAAATCCCCCAAAAATCCCCAAATCCTCACCAGGAGCTGCTGTGGGATGAGCTGCATGATCAATTTTTGGGGCCACTGATCCGATTTCCTGGGAAAAAAAGGGAAAAAAGGGGAAAAAATTGGTGAGTTTGGGGTTCCCCCATTCCCAAACCCCAAAAATCCCCCAAATTAGAGCTGCTGTGGGATGAGCTGCATGATCAATTTTTGGGGCCACTGATCCGTTTTCCTGGGAAAAAAAGGGAAAAAAGGGAAAAAATGGGTGAGTTTGGGGTTTCCCCATTCCAAAACCCCAAAAATCCCCCAAATTATCCCAAAATCCCCCAAATTCTCCCCAAAATCCCCCAAATTCTCCCCAAAATCCCCTCCCACCCCACAGCAGTGAATTTTTACGTCCACAAAATGAACTAAAATCCCCCAAATTCATCCCAAACTCCCTGGTACCAGAATGGTGCAAAAATGGCACAAAAATGACCCAAAATGTCATAAAATGGCACCAAAATGGCATAAAATGGTGAAAAAATGACATAAAATGGCACCAAAATGGCACCAAAATGGAACGAAAATGGTGTCAAAATAGCATCAAAATGGTGCCAAAATGGCCAAAAATTGGCACCAGAATGGTGCCAAAATGGAGAAAAAATGGCCAAACAATGGCACCAAAATGGCACCAAAACCACCCCAAATCCCACAAAAAAAAAAGCCACCAAAACCCACAAAAAAACCCCCAAATCCCCCCCCAATAACCCCAAATATGACAAAAGCCCTGAGGGTGATTTTGGGGTCCCTGGGGATGTTTTGGGGTCTCTCCGGGTGATTTTGGGGGTCCTGAGGGTGATTTTTGGGTCTCTCCAGGTGGTTTTTGGGTCTCTCCAGGTGATTTTGGAGTCCCCCAGGGTGATTTTGGTGTCCTTGAGGGTGATTTTGGGGTCCCTGAGGGTGATTTTGGGGTCCCTAGGGATGATTTTGTGATCTCTCCAGGTGATTTTGGGGTCTCCCAGGGTGATTTTGGGGTCCCTGGGGATGATTTTGGTGTCCCTGAGGATGTTTTGGGGTCTCTCCGGGTGATTTTGGTGTCCCTGAGGATGTTTTGGGGTCTCTCCGGGTGATTTTGGTGTCCCCGGGGATGTTTTGGGGTCCCTGGGGATGATTTTGGGATCCCCAGGGATGATTTTGGGGTCCCCGAGGATGATTTTGGGGTCCCTAGGGATGATTTTGGGATCCCCGGTGATGATTTTGGGGTCCCTAAGAGTGATTTTGGGATCCCCAGGGATGATTTTGGGATCCCTGGGGATGATTTTGGGGTCTCTCCACGTGATTTTGGTGTCCCTGAGGATTATTTTGGGGATCCTGAGGGTGATTTTGTGATCTCTCCAGGTGATTTTGGGGTCCCTGGTGATGATTTTGGGATCCCCGGTGATGATTTTGGGATCCCCGGGGATTATTTTGGGGTCCCCGGGGATGATTTTG